GGGCTTTTATCTGTTAATTTACCTGTGTATTTGGGCCTCTTTTGACCAATCAGTCAAGTCTGGGCCTTTCCATGTCCCAAATGAAGTATCCACCACCATATGAATATTATCTAAATCAAGATGAATAAAATATATGGTCTCGGGAATATCGGGCGGTCCCCGCTCCCGGTGTGGGCCCCACGTGCGAATTTACTATTCCCGCAAAAGAATTAATAAAAATCCACAACTTCGTATATTCATTGACCATTCCATAAGGTTCAATACATTATTCACTTAAAAGTAAATATATTTGGGGACGGTGTTACACTGACTCTGCTGCTTTTCAATTTCCTTTTGATATTTTGGTGCTCTGTTAATCACACTCTCTGCTCTTTTACATATTTTGTCCTCTGGGCATTTGTAATTACCTTAATACTTTTTCTATTCTACTTGATTTTTTTTTGTAATTCTGCGATGATGGGAATAGGAACTAAAAGCTAATCCACCAGCTACACCAACGAAAGGCCATCTTCAAGGTACTAATGACTGTGATTCTCTAGCTTGGATTTAGATCATATATACGCTTCTTTCCAGATTGACTCTTGGGAGTTCTATTTTTTCTGCACTTAGCTTGATCTCATTGGGACAATTTTGCCGATATGTGATCCATCTTTTGGTGGTCACGTATGGAATGGACAGGCCTCTGAAAAAACATTCCGGTTATGAAGATTTGGGAGGTGTCTGTTTCATGACAGTGAAAAGAAATTGAGGGTTTCAGGTGCTCGGCCTCAGCCTGTTTATAGATGTATGCTTAGAAGCGTCAGACAAGTATGGAAGTATGGTCATTTATTAGAGTGGTTAGTTCCATTTTTTTCTTCTTGTTTTCTCCCCAGGGTTCTCATTCCCACAATCCCACTTTAGTTTTGTTGTATGTGCTTCTGTTGAAAGAGGGTTTAAAGTTCTTTGAATATATGTAGAATCTTTGTGAGCCTCCTTTGTATGTAGTATGATTTACTTACATGAGCAAGAATGAATGATATGATTTAGTATGGGATCAGCCTCTTTCTTTGCCTCTGATTTACCAAAGTATTGAATGATATGAGAAGTTGTTAAGCATTAGTAAGGTTAGTATACTGTATTACACTGCCTAGGCAGCCTATCCAAGTCTTTTTTGCTGTAATTTGTCTGTTTTACACAAAATAACTGATAATATAAATAGTGCTCTCACATTTATAGAAAACACAAATGATACTTATTTATAAAAACGTCCTATATTTCAGCTAATTCTAAGAATTGTTGAAGTGACTTTTTGTGTTTTTCTGTTGAAAAGTTACTTCAAAATAGTACATAGTAAGTGGAATGAAACCAGAGGGTTCATTTAAAACATAAAAAGAATAAAAAACATAGAAAATAACTGTTATAAACCAATAAACACATTGCTATCTCTTAAGATAAAAAGTTTTTTACTATTTTTCTATTTCTAAAACTTGATGCTTTTGATTGGTTTTAGTTTCAAGTTCATTACTTTCTATTAGGAATGAAATTCTATTATCAAATGTAATAAGTTTAGACTATCATATGTTCACAATACTTTTATTTCATTCTAAAGTTCATCAATACTTTGCTACATACTTTATAATCCTTTCTAGAGATGCTAGATGGGGTGCCTGTGAAATATGTTCCCGTTTCTAGAGAGAAGATGCCTCGGTGGGGTTATAAAAGGTTCTGGATATCTATATGGCTGCCAAACATGTAACTATTCTAAGGCAACGAATGCTTATGAGTTTGAACTTCATGCTGTAAAAATATATGTCCTCTTCCTTCCATATGTAACTATTTTGTCTTTTCCTATGCCTCAAGTCCTCTTCTTATTTTTTGGCAGTCATTTATATCTAAAAAGGAACTATATTTGGTTTCATCCTATAGGGTCTTGTTTTTTTGGTAAAACATAGAGTCTTGTTAGTAAGTAGAAAATAGTTTTTCAATCCTTCATGCTTCTGTGTAAAGCTATACTTGTGTTATTGTTAGCATGCAGTGCACTTTGTGAGACAATGAAATTCCAACTAAAGATCCATGCCTCCACGGCCTTTGAACATTGTATAATTTTGTTCCCCTCACTTTATCCCGGTGTACACTGTGTAATTTTGTTCCAACATAAGCATTCTTTCACGCCTCTTTCTAATTGCTCAATTTTAAAGTTAAATAGAGTTTTTGACCGCCCATCCATCCTGTTGGGTGTGTTTCGAAAAACGAAGAAAATTAATTAATAGAAATTAATTAAATAAAATGACTAAAGAAAAATAAGAAATGAGATGAAGCAGAAATCAGTCAAAGCTTGTGCTACGCACGATTTCATTAAAACGTATTCGTTGCCTCCCGGGGTGCTAGAAGCGTTGCAAGAATCGTTTCCCATGATACGATGACTAACGACCAATTGTTTGAGCACTTGAACGAATGTTCCGGCGAACGTGAACAAAGGCAGAACACAAAGGAGTATTTCGGAAACTCGGGGTGTTTTTCAGAGCTCAAAATACGTGAGGGAAGTGCGTATGAACTTGTGTTTGTTGCAAACCACATGCCATCTACTTATATGAAGGATTTGTTGTTGTGCGTTAATGACGCTTAGTGGTCTGAACGTTGGACATCAATGCCCCGAACGTTGGGCATTGATTCGGCCAAAGCAGTCCGTTAATTGCTGCATTAAGGCTCATAGACATTGGGCATTTAATAGTTGTAACGTCCCAGTAGCAGCATGCTGCGGACGTTCAACTTCATGGAGAAGCAGCCTACTGCGGACAGAGCAGTAGCCTGCTCCAACCTGGAGCAAAAAATAGGAATTCGACGGAGGAACAAAAATTAAGATAGAATTTTCGGACGACGTTCGTGTCCGTAGGTCGCTGGCGCACGCAAGTCGCGCTTTTTGTTCTCCGGTTTCGGGATTCGATTTGCGCTCGCCCCCTTGATCGTGAGAGAGGGCCTTTACCCTTAGGAATCTTAACTCCTTAGAGGGGGCTTCCCTTTATAAAGGGTTCAAATTCCCTTGGGTTTTCCGGTGTGGGAAAAAACCACACTTGAAACCCATCTTTTCCCATTTTTCTCTATTTCAACGAGTGAACTTCGAGAATCAAATTCTCATTCACCCGTTATCCGTTTTGAGTGTACCATATATCGAATTGTAGACCTAAGCAAGGACAATTCGAAACCACTTTGACCCGACCCAAATTGGAAGTGGACCCCGCTCAAAAAATTGCCCCAAAATGACCATTTAATGCAATACATTAACACATTTTCCAACACATATTTGTTAGCTTACGTATAAGTAATTCACTTTGCTTGACAATACATTATAGTATTTGTGCCTTTTAATAAAAAACATATTTATTTGACTACTTTTTTTAAAAAATCATTTTATTTTGTTTATGGATTCTATATAAGGTCCAAAATATAGCTAGGGCTTTAAGTTATAGAAAATATTTTGGGCATTATCACTATCGCGCAATGCGCGTTGAAAAACTACTTTACGTAATACATTCACATAATTAAAAAAACAAATGCCAATTTTTGAAACAACTCTATTATTATGATAAAACATTTATCTAATATTTAGCTATATTGCTATTTAAGTCCTGAATATTTTATAATAACATGATAAGCTAATTAAATTGGAATAACTCACTTGATAAAAGAAGTATATTATTTTCTTTATAAACAAATAAAGGTTAAGTATAAATTTGAACAAACGTCTATATCTAAGTTGATCTTATGTATATGTATACTCGTGCTTGAGCATGTATATATATTTAGGTCCAAAAAAGAATGGTTTCATGAAAAATAGAAAAAAATATTCTACATTGGATTTGAGATCAGATGACTCTAAGTATACCAATACATCAGTTAATTAGGAAAGAAGTAGCGGAAAAAATTTAAAGGTGCAACTATTGGCACCGTTAATAATGAGAACAATTTTTTAACTGCACTATATACAGCACCCCCTCAAAAAACTCTCTGGTTCCGCCATTGGGCTTATCAATATGTCTTATTGGATTTTACTTGGGCTAAATTTTGGTTTAATTAGATCTATTTGGCCATTTAGCTTGTTCCAACTTCATTCACAATGCATTAAGTAAAAGGTACAAATTAACCATAAATTCACAAATATTCCAGATTCCAATTCGAACTCATGTACAATTTTGTCTGATCATATGCTCCAACTTCACCGCACGATGAGCCGGGTCGAGGGTCACGGTAACCCATAGGCCGGTTATCGGACGTGGAAAAAAGAAAAGATGTACATACAAGTATTGATATGTAAATATATTTTTCTTCACACTTAAGAATTGCAGCGAACTTGGGCTTGTCAATATTTCTTATTGGATTTTACTTGGGCTAAATTTTGGTTTAAGTAGATCTATTTGGCCATTTAGCTAGCCTAAGTTATTTGCATCCATCTCTGTATAAAATTCATATGACAATGCAATTATGTAAAGGGTAATTCTATTCACAGCCCCATTTTACTAATCACACACACACATATTTTTTATAATTCCTATCATGCCCTTATTGCTAAGTACACTCAGTCTCAACAGTCTCAGTTGAGAGAAGACGGCCAGAATAATACGGAGTATATACCACCACTGTATGAACCCGTGAGATATGGCTGGAGCCAAAATAACCTAACATGACATAGGGGTGTTTGGAACTGATTCTGCTTCTGCTTCTTTTCTAAAGTAGAATCAGAATCAGAATCAGTTATCAGAAGCTGGTCTCCCCCAGCTTCTAAAAAATCTGATTCTAGGAGTAAATTAAAGCACCGGAATCACTTGTGCACTTTCACTCAAACACTCCAGCTTCTGCTTCTGTTATCTGAAGGAACAGAAGCAGTTTTAAGAATCGGATCCAAACACTCCCATAGAAGTCTAGTGGATCGACTAACTAACCAATGCATCAGACAAAAAAAATCCAAAGATAACTATGGGGCATAACTTATCAATGCCCATCAGACGAAGAAAAACAATTGTGGTGAACTAGTGATGATATCTTCCTATCCAATTGGATTTATTTTAACAATTTATAGCCTAGTCTCGCTTTTCATCTGAATCACGCACATAGGTGTAGGATTGGTTCTAAATGCCCATCGATTCTGCACAACTTTGATTCGCTTTTGATTCTGCCCCTACAACACAACATGCTGCCCATGTACAATCGGACCAAGAGGCCTTACAGAGAGCTGCACTTGTCGGTCCTTAATCGGTGGGCGGCGGCGGCGGAAGAACAATAAGTACCAGTTGAAAGAAGACTATACTAACTAATATGCCCACTTACGGTAGGTCTATGGTTTGCGGAAAGAGAATTTGAAGTTAGAGAGCATTGCTATATAAGCGAGGGTAATTTGGATATTTAGTTTGTTTTGTGGCTGTGATTAGTAAATTGTGAACTGTGAATAGAATTACCCTTATGCAAATACTAGTATTAAGGAGAGCTCTCCATTTGTATTTGAAATGGTATACGATTTGGACGGAATTGGGTCCAATATGCAAAAATTGTGAAGCATTTGGATAATTGGATCTATCAATTTTTTTTTATAACGGGTGGCATTTACGCCATCACACCATAGCTATAAATCACCACTAATAAAAAATTAGAACCAAATGCTTTAACCGTACCTTAATTGTGACTATTGTTAAACTTTGATACCTTAATTTTGAAATGAAACAAATCAATACCATAAAAATTTTACGTGTAGCCAGAATTTATTCGTACAGTCTATTGTACATTACTTTTATCTATGTCACCAGTGTACGGTGGACTGTGCACAGAAAATTCCAGTCTCCGCGCACGGTTTTGTTGGAAAAACAGCAGCAACTATTAATAGCAAAAGAAGAAGAAAATCAGCAGAAAACTTATCATTGGAGAAGGATTCAAGCTGTGACGTGGAGACCACTGTCTTGAGACCAAAATTCGGCACGACTCCGGTGCTAATTGTATACTGCTTGTTCGTTCCCCAAGGTTTACACAGTGATGGAGTTTAATTCCAACTACAAGAGCTGATCTATGAAGAGTGAAGAAATTTGGGTAGCGTAAGTAGTATAATTATTTAGGAGGTTGGTCTCTTTTAGGGTAAGTACATGAAGTATTTATAAACCCAGAGCTACAATAGTCTAAAAAGATAAAAACCGATACATTTAATACATTCAAGTTTCTTCTGTTAGTTTCCTGCCACTGTCAGATAGCAATACGCAATGGATATCCTATCACGTAAGCCCTAGGAGGGTTAGACCTCGCTAGAATCCTGCCCAGGCTCGAGGCCTGCTATTCAGGTCGGGTCGGCTGTGAGCTCTTTCGCGACTCTTATTAATTAATCCTGTGTTATAGGCTTCGCTTATAATTTTCACTTGGGCCATGCTCGCGGACTCACGGTCCATGGTACCATCACACAACTACTTTCAAACACGATCACACATGGTTGAAGGATGAAGTTTGCACAATACAATTGCTCAAACGAAAAAGATTTTGAGAAGAGAAAGAAAATAACATTATATCTTTTTCCAGAGAATCAGCTTTCAATTTACAAAAGTATGTTTAACGGCTCCAGGCACAAAAACAGGAGATGAAGTTATAGGATTTTACCTTGCACAAATGTTGGAGCTATTAACGGAATCGGTTATCCACCACCACCTTGTATGTGGAATTAAAACCGGAAGAGGAGAATAACTGAGGTGATCAGGTCTGCCAATTCTTCCCAAATATGAAAAGAGATATGTACTCCGTAAAGAAACACGCCCTTGTATAGAAAGTAATTTGGGCTGGGCAGATTGAGCAATAAGAGTCATTCTCCCAACAGATTTTTGGCCTTAAATTTGAATAGTATTGCTATTTGAAACATATACACACTACAAAAAAACGAGCGGTTAGTCACGGATGTAGTCACGGACCGTAGTGTTAAAAATCCGCGACTAATCAATTTTGTCACGGATATAGTCACGGACTAAATCCGTGACTAAACAGGCGTGACTAAATTTAGTCATGGATCGGAATCCGTGACAAAGCTTAGTCACGGACTAGTCACGGCCCGTATCAGTGACTAATTTGTTATCGGAGTTGCTATTTCGCCACGTTTGTCACGGATTTATCCGTGAAAAACTTTATTTTTTAAATAAAAAAATCAGTCACATTTGTCACGGACCCGTCCGTTACAACTTTTAAGATTCGAAAATTTCAAATTTTCAAATTTTCATTTTCAAAATTTTAAATTTTTTCAGGTTGTCACGGACAGCATCAATGACTAATATTTTTTAATTTAAAAAAAAATTATTTAAAATTTGTTTTTGAACAAAATTTAAAAACAATATTTTAAAAACGGGAAAAATAATTAAAATACCCCAAACTTTGAAGGGGTGTGAGGTAAATACCCCGAACTTGCATATGTAATTTTAATATCCCGAACATTATATAAAAAGTTATGTTAGCACCATGATCATATAATTTTCACCATAAATTAAATGATCATAAATTTTAAATTTATACATGACATGGTGCTAAAATAACTTTTTATATAAAGTTTAGGGTATTGAAATTACTCATGCAAGTTTGGAGTATTTATCTCACACTCCTTCAAAATTTGGGGTATTTGAATTATTTTCCCCTTTAAAAAACAGTAGAAAACATTTGTCACGGATTGAATCCGTGACAAACATTTTAAATTTAAAAAAATTAATTTTTGTTTGAAATTTATTATTTAAAAAAAAATATCTTTAACAAAATTTATTTTTAAAAAAATGTTGTGGATTTATAACAATTAAATAGAAAAGAAATTCATACACATTTAATCTACCAGTAATTTAATAAACATAATTATTACAGACTGGAATTATAAAACAGTAATAAAACCGATGTTCAATTTATATTAAAAAATGTATTATTACACACTGTTTCGGGGATATCCGTTATGATAATATCTAGGATCATCATATTCATAATCAATGAGATAATCTTCTTCGGGCTCTTCGTGCTCTTCGGGTCGGGTGCCTGCTGCCTCCTCGGCTGCTGCCTCGGATGCCTCCTCTGTTGCCGTCGGGTGTCTGAAACTGGTTAAAATTTTCATACGGAAAAGAACCGAATGACCCCATTGCAGGCATGCTCAACCCAGTGTTAGAATGATAACCCATATTGCCCATGTGCAAAACTTGAGGAGTCGTTTCAGGGTGCCTTATATACATTTCAGGCCGATATGTGGCAGTGAAGTGCTGCATTTGCTGTTCCATCGCTTCAAGCCATTTTCTTGTTCTTCGCTCCTGTTCCCGTTGCTCCTCCAATTCTCGCTGCAGTTGTGCAGAATTCGAAGCCCCTCGGCCCCCATGCATGGAACCCGACCCTTATACACCCCGGCAGCCTCCAACATCGCCTCATCATCCGCATCAGAATCGAGTTCGATATCTAAGTCAGTCAGGCCTAACTCAGCACGTTTCTTCCCAACCGCACCCTGATACTTCGTCTACATGTTCAAAAATTTATTATAATTAGGATCAACTTTATTTTGAATTTTATTAAATAACTGAAGTGATGTTATTTACTTCAATTTCGGCGAGGCAAGGTGGCAGCTGGGCATTAGACTCATCGCCGCCCTTCGTCCAGCAATGTTTGATCACCTTCCACGTGGAGACCTTCTTTTTCTCAGGTCCCGCCTACATGGTTTGAGAATTACTTAAAAATTGAAAATAATTATATATCTGTGAGGGCTGTAATGGTGCTAGGTTTTTTTGACTTAGAACTTACCAGAGTTTCTTTATGTTTATCTTGAGGTTTGCGGCCCCCGTGTCATTGTGTCTCCATGGCCCCCGTGTCATTGTGTCTCCAGTGGCGAACAAGGCTGGCCCAGACTTCATCGGAAGCCCATCCAGGCTTCATCCCGCTCTTTCAGGCACGCTTAAAAGTGGGTATAAGCCACTTAGAGACCCTTGTATTATACGCTCTCAGAACAGCAGCGCCATGTGCTTCGGTCCATCGATGTTGGCCGTTTATTAAAAAATTTATATGTTAATTTATCATTATCAAATTTTAAGTTACTACATTTACGCCGAGAAAATTCATTTATTTTTATCTTGAACAGATTACACCAAAGTTCACGGACCCTGGGGTCAACTTCCGTGTAGGATGCCCAATTCCCCAGAAAATGTGAGCCAACTATGTGTTTGATTCGTTCCAACACTTCTTGCTCGCTTCAAAAAATTAATATTTCGTAATAATATTTATGTAAATTTATAGAAGTTTTGATTACATTATTTGAAATTAGAAAAAGTTCATAATTTATTACTTGGCTACCATTATAGGTGTTACCCAAGCCGCGTTTTCGTTGTTCCGCTCGGGCGCTCGGCTTCCGTTAAGGGGGCGTATGACGGGCGGGCACGGGAGGTTGATTGTTGATCACTCATCTAAAATTTATTAACTTATATTTTAAAATGTTAGTGTGATTATAATAGAACATCAATTTTTTTAGAAGTTTTATTAATTAAAAAATGTGTATAACATATTAAACTGTGTTTAAGTTTAATATGAGGGGTTGTAATTTTTTGAATTAAATGTTTTGTAACTTTGAAACAATACATTTTTGAATTGATTGCTCTTAAAGGTAACATGTTAAACTTTTTGGCAAGTTTACATGAGTTGACATATTTTATTTTGATGTTTTCTAAAAATATAATCAATTTTTGTAGGTACATGAGTTTTTTTATAACTTTTTATAAGGAAGTTATAAGAATCATTTTAATACATTAAAAAACGTTTGACACATCAAAAATTTAGTTTTTGTATCAAAATCAGTTTTTGGTAAACTTAGTGAACTTAATTTTTTTATTAATTTATTAAAACCAGGTTTAAACTTATTAAACTCCATTTTTATAGAAAAAACAGTTTATGAATTAATAGTTTTAGAACAACAGTTTAATATTTCGAAAAACAGTTTTTCGTAAACTTATTAAACTTTATTTTTTGTATTTATTTATTAAAGAACAGTTTTTAATAAATTTATTCGTATAACATTTTAGAAAATCAGTTCTATGTATTTTTTTTGTATTAATTTGAAAAACAGTATAAATCATGTTTTAAACATGTTCATTATTATAATTTCGAAAAACAATTTAATATTTCGAAAAACAGTTTAATATTTCGAAAAACAGTTTTTCGTACACTTAATATTTCGAAAAACAGTTTATTTTTTGAATTATAACTTCATTTTCGAAAACAGTTTATTTTTTGCTTATTATATATTTTGTAAATATATAATTAAACATGTTAAACTTATTGCAAGTTTAACATGAGGGGGACAATTTTCTTAAATAATTCGGGTATGTCTTTTAAACTATATCTATTCAATAATAATATTGATGCATATGGTGTAAATAAAAAAAATAAGTCCGAAATAAGCTAAAAGGGTTCGAATAATCATGCTTGTGGTTTAATTAAAAAAAAAGTTTAACCATGGATATTGAACATATAACCAAAAAAACATATCAAATTATATCAAACCATAATCTAAGCATGCATATTGAACATAAAATTTTGAAAATTATATCAAACAAATTTCATCAAATGTAAGCATGCAAATCAAGTATTCTACAAACATATATTTTAAAAAAATCAACAAATAAAGCATGCATTATTCAAGAAATAGAACATGCATATTGAAAAAAAACGAGTAAATTAATAATTAATACTCATATAAACTAATTGAACAATTAAAGTATGCATTTGAGTATATACATCATGCATCTGGGTATATTAAAACAAACAGAGCATGCATGTTAATTACAATAACAACAAAACATGCATTGTTTGGCATTTTAAAAAATTTATAATTAATTATTAACATACGAAAAAAAATAATAGAATTTGAGAACATAACCTTGATAGTGGTGGATGGCGGCGGACGGCGGCGGACGGCAGATTGCAGCGGATGGCGGCGGTGGTGGCGCTGTGCCCGGGTGGTGGAATGCAGAGGAAGGGAGAAGGGAGAGAAGGGAGTAATTTGGGAATTGGAAGCGTAGGTTGGGAAAAAATCTAAGGGTGGGTTATATAAAATGAGCTAGTCACGGACGGATCCGTGACTAAGTCCGTGACTAATTCAAAATTTTGAATTAGTCACAAACTTTGTCACGGATCCGTCCGTGACTGCCTCGTTTTTCTTAAACAGTTTTTAATACTTTATCCACACGGTCAAACAGTTTTTTTAATTTTATTCATAGTATCAATTCCACCCCAAAGTATCTATTTTAGCCGTTTTAAAGGGTGGTTCGTGTATATTTTGGAAATCATTTTGATGATATAAAATATAATAGGTTGATTTATGATAATTTTGATATTATGTGTGCGTCATTTTAATATTAGTGATTAATTTATCATTTAAGAGTGTTAATTATTTCGTATTAAATGCATAAACGGTACCTATGATCACTATTGGTATCATTATATTTTTATACTTTAACTCTAAAATAGAACAAATCAGTGTCATAAATATCCATAAATGTTTCAAACAGTAATACTATTGAAATTTTCAGCCAAAAAAATATACGTGGTGGCCGCAATTTTATGTGTACCGTCCACCGACATTGGTGGTGTGGATAAAGTAACGTGTAATCAGGGACGGATCCAGGGGGCGGGGGGGGCGACCGCCCCCCTTGGACTTCCATTTTTTTCTACTATATATGTAATATTTTCATAAGATTTTCATATTTTAATTAGATATATATGTTTTCGCCCCCCTTAACTTTTAGTTTTCAAAATTAATATATAGTCTCACATAATGTAAATAGTTAATTGGTGATTTAAAAGAAGTAGAATCTAAAATATTTTACATAACTTAAACAAATTAACAATAGAACTCATTGTTTAAGACTTAGGATACCTAAAAATTCTTAGTTTTGTAATGTTTAATTATCTTTATTAGATAATTAGTACTCGATTTTGTAAGATATCAAACGATATTGAATTTGAGATACAATAGTTAAATAGTATAAATGTTTGTTGACATTAGATTACACTCTTCGTTTACCTCTTACTTTCTAAAAACAATTTGTTGAGTAGATAATACTTTAACTTATTTTAGCATTAATACACATATGATATGCACCATATATATGAATTAACATTACTACGTATTATAGTATTCTAAGTATAATAATCTCATACATACTATTGTAATATTAAGAAAGCTTATCGTGACCCACAAATACCTTCCTTGGTAGACAGAAATCTCAATTCAGAAACCGATTCTTTATTCTGTTAAGGTTCATGTGGTTAAACAAGACATAAGTTATTTAAAAAGCATTGGTTGATGTGTACATTTAATTTTAACCCCATTACCTTCAAATAATATCATAAAATGTTATATATCTTTTTTTATTTTCAAATAATTTTCCTTTGATTTGTCATTTGTTAAGCTTTAATGTATCAATACGTTTTTCTAGAGCACTTATAGTTATTAAATCAAAGTTATCTTTTCATTGTCTAAGATATAAATGTCAATATGTCATCGTGTATTTAGTATGTACTAATGGAACTCTTTGAATAAAAATTAGCCGCAGAGCCCTACACTAGCGAAAAAAATTCGTCCCGCTACACTAACGAATTTTTTCCTATCCCGCTTAACAACGAATTTTTTTTACTGATCCCTACACTAATGAAAAAAATTCGCCTCCCTTGACTCAAAATCCTGGATCCGTCCCTGCGTGTAATGGACTTTACTAATAGAATTTCGGTTATTACCTAGAATTTTTACTGAAAATTGAATAGTAATGATTGTTAAAATATTTAAATATAATTATGGTACTTATGTATTTCATTAAAAGTTAAGACATCAAAATGCAACAATATCAATTATTAAGATACTGTTTATGAATTTGGCCCAATTATCTCCTAAAATAAATAGTAAATTTTAGTTGGACGTGTAAAAAGAAGTTTAATCTGGAATGATAAAAATAATACGGAGTATATATGAACTCAAAATGAAAAACGAGAGTTCAAAGTACTATAGTAGGATATTTAGAACAAAAAAGAAATATAAAAGCCAAAAAGAAATTGTTAACTTTTAAACATATAAGGGTTTGTTTGCAAATGTTTGTGCTTATATAAAAGCAATTTTTGGGAAAAAGTGATTAGTAGTAAAAGTTGGTAGTGTTTGGTAAAATAAGTGCTTTTTGTGTAATAGAAAAAGTAAAAAGTAGATTCTACATGAAAACCGAGGAAGTAAAAGTTGGTAATGTTTGGGAAAATAAGTGCTTTTTTCTTAGAAAAAAGCCACAATCACTTATTTTAAGTGATTGCAAACAGAGCCTAAGTAGCATATGGGGTGGAATTGATACTTTGATAAAAGAAAAACATGATGGGCAATGTGATCCTTCAACCTAAAGAAATGTTGATTCATTGCAATTTAGTCCAAACAACTCGGTCAGACTTTGGTTTGACTATGTGACTGGTGAGAACAAGGGTTTCAGGCTTTCAGCACTATGATCAAAATCCTCACCTACCACGGCGCGTGTCTGCCAAACTTGTAATCCGGGTATTCCTAATTACCTACTCGTATCTAATTGTTAGTCAACTACCACTTCATTTATTTATAATTAATTTATGAGTTTTTTCTTAAAATAATGTCAAATAAAAAAGAAATAATTACATAAATATGATCAAAATAAATATGGTTTACAAAAATATGACTAGTTACTAGAGTAGTAATGAAATCATAGTAATTCATGTTCACGTTTTGAACTTAAGTTACCACAATAATACGTTGTAGTAATGAATACTCATATTTATGTAAATAAGTATTATTTTAGTAATATTCTTGTAAAAACACAAAAAAATAATTTCCAAAATAAGATTAGATTAAAAATATTTCCCAAAATAGTGCTCTCAAAATAAGTTCAGAGAACCGCCGTGCTTATAGGCAAATCGCGTAACTCAAGAGCAAGCACGCAACAAGACAACATGAAATGATGAGATAGGCCCCACCAATAAATGAAATCTCATTTTTATTTTAAAGTGATATAATTTTTTTATTTGTACTCTGATT